ACCCAGAGGAGGCACCCGAAGCACATATACGCATGACACTTCGTACATGGCATTGGATAACGAAGGACAGCAGCATACGGCACAGTGAGGCATAGATATGCATGACAGTTCTCTCCAAGAGGGCGCGGGCCGGGGAAGTTGCATCCATACCGGGCGAGCTCCGGCTTTGCCGCTGAGCAGGCTGGCTGCAGACGCCTTGGCGGGAGGAGGTGCTCTGGACGCCGCCTGGCTGCCCCCAGTGGTCCTGCTGGCCGCGGCTGCACGCATTGACGTGGATGGGGAAGACACAGGGCAGTGGGATGCACACGCATGGGCACAGAGGAGGGGGAATGAGTGGAAGAAAAGTGACAGGGATGGCAGCCGGATGGAAAGAGAAAGCGTAACGTAGCGTGCATGTGCGCAAAATGGGGGAAAAGCGGGGGAAGACTTGTCGGTATGTGGTGCGTGCACAAGCGAGCAGATGGCAAGAGAGTGTGGGGGCAGGGATGTGGGACAGGAAAGGGAGCTGACCTTGAGGTGCGGCATCGACAGTGACGCCAGCGCTGGCAATGACGTCGATGAGCTTCTTCTTGCGCACCTCATCCACCGACTCCAGATGCCTCTCCAATGGCTTCATGCCCGCGCACTGCACCCACCAGAATCAAAGGCAGGGAAAAGCTTGTCAAGTCACATCTTTATCAGAGACATGGATATGTCAGCGCACGTACAGTCAGATTTTGCAAAACATACGCTACATAACACGGTGGAGATAGCTGGAAAGAGCACGGTACCTTTGCAACGTTTGCAAGGGCGTTGAAGCCGGCCTCTCGAACATCCACTGTCCCATCTTGCAGGCTCTGCACGTTTCACCAAGGGTCATGGGGCAGAATGTGGTTAGTGAGTGCACGACGTACAATTGGTCTGAGCCAGCAAAGGTTCACACAAGGTTGCAGTTGAAGCAGTACAGTGTTGTGAGTACGTAGCCTACCTCGACGAGCATGGGGATGAGCTCCTTGTGCACCGCCATGACTTGCGGCCGCTTGCTCGCCTCGATGCACACAGCCACCCACCCCAGCACCTCCGAGCGGACCTGCGGCACCTTGTGCTTCACGGCCGTGGTGATGTCTGCTCGTGAGGGACATGGACATGCGAGGGTTATGGACGTGGGGGTGGACAGTGGGAAGGGTTTTTACCCATGTAGTTGTCATTACCAGTCCGAGGGCACGGATACGGACACGGACATCAACATGCACTGCGTGTGGTGAGTCATCACGACATAAGGCCATACTAAATGCAACATCAGCTTAGAGTGGAAAGAACCTTAGCTTACCCTCGAGTGCGTCAGTCAGCGCCAAGCACCCTGAGACATAGAACGCCTTGAGCGTGTCTCGAATGGCCTGCACCACCGTCGGCTTCTTCTCCTTGTACCTCTCCTGAACAAGACACAAACGGTGCACCGGCGTGAGACAAAGCCAAGCAGTGCAACAATAATCAAAGCGGCAACAAACAATTCTGATCATCCAATAGGAGCGTGAGAGCACCACCTACCAATAAGGCTGGCAGCATGAGTCGTGCTCCAGATGAGAAGTCCTTCCGTAAACCCTTGGCCAGGTTGCCGGCTGCCTGAATGGCCTCCGTGGCGACTGCAATGTTCACATCTGTGGTCAGCTGCACAGCGGGAACAGGACGCACACCACAGGATAAACGTACGCGTCAGTAAAGTGACAAAAGGATTTCGCTAATGGCAAGAAACATGTGGGGAGTGTCAGCAAAAAACTACCTTCTTCAAGCTTCGTTGAATGTCCAGAAAGTCTCCTGGTGCGATGCGAATGGTGCTGGCCAGTTTGGTCAGCTCTGCTATAGCATCGCGCCTCTCTGACCACTTGGTAGCTTTCTGCACAGGGAAGAGGTGAGCAAGCAACGCAAATTGCAGATAAGCACAACGTAGCCATATCCAAACATGCACGGGCCAGAAGTGAGACACAATGTCAGCTAGAATGGAGGGGGACACTCACAATGCCGTCATAGAAGGTCGTTTTGGATAGGGGCGTCAAGATGTCCACAGGGTCCGCCAGGTCGTAGTCGTCAATCACAGGAGGAGCTGCAGCCACACACAAGAGCACGCGTTGCGATAATGAGCACAGAGGTACTAACACCCCCTGAAAGCACGCAATTGTGTTTCATTTAACTGTTCAAACACGCTGTCATCCCTTACCCTCAGGCTCTGCGGCCTTGGAGTCGCCTGTTGGGGCATCCAGCACCTCTGGCTCCTCAATCTCCTTCATCTGCTCCGAACGGATCCTCCTCGTCGGAACAGCACGCCCTTCGACACGCTCGAATTCCGCCTCGAGCTCCGCTTTCTGCGAGGAGAAAGCAGAGCAATAATCATGATAAGCCGTTCACTAAGAACCAAAACGGCTATGAGGTCCGCAAGCCCTGTTGTATCCAGCGCTCACGCACCGTGGCGTCACGGAGCCCTTCGAACAGCAAGCGCTTGACGGTGTCCTTGCCCAGCCAGCGACAGAGCTCAACAGTGAGCCCCTTGGTGCACTGCCGCACCCCCTGGTCCGCGTGGTTGAACAAGCCGGGAAGCATCTTGAACATGCGCTTCGGAGGAACCACGCCTGTTCCAAATTGGCTGTACCACAATGAAAGAAAAACAAGTCAGATGACACTTGATGTTAAAACGCGACGTCAGGGACAAAAATTCCGACGCGAGCGAAGCGGTTAGTAGCGTCACAACCGACGAGAATGCTGACTTCACCTTAGCGCTTGGTACATGGCGTCGATGGCTGGCACTACGGCCTTCGCCACTTTGTGCTTCACCGCTTTCTCCATGCAATCCTGCACGCGGTCGCCAGGTTCCAATCAGGTTGAGATGCATCGTGAAGCTAACCGTACACCGACAGAAATAAACGCATTCTGCTCACCAGGAAAACTTCGACGGCCTCGAGCTCGACCCACAGAAGGAACGAGGTCTGAGCCCTCTCAACTGTCTTAGGTCGACCCGTGAGGCACTTCGTAGCCGTAGCATCGCAGATTTCCTTGGCGAACCTAATCCATTTCAAAAGGCATGCGTCAGGCGAGAGTTGATTCGAGGCTTCACTACAAGCATTGTCGTAGATTCTCACCTCGCAACATCGGCATCTGCTGCCAACTGAAAGGCTATCAATGCATCTAAAGCCTTTTCTTGTGCAGGCGCGTTCGCATCAGACACTGCTTTCTTCAACAAATGACCTGAAACGTGACGGACAATGAATAAGACCTCGTTCGGCAGCTTTACAGTCGAAATCGATACGTGAACGGATGCTAATACGAACCGTATTCTTTAAGCTTGGGGTCTTTCGGATCCTTAATCTTGTTGCAAGAATCTGCGATATCCAAATACACCTCGTTCCTAACCTTCCAGTTCTTATGAGCTATCCTATCTTCTAAAGGGAGCTTCTTCGCCTCCTGCAAAACCTTCTCTTCTTCTGAAGCCATGGTTCGTCTAGAAACAACACGGTTCTACGCAAAAACAATATATGACAGTATCGTAACTAGGTCACGACGCCTAAGACTTGCGAGCTCGGTCAGAGAAGCGTAGCTGTTCAAAATTAGGAGGCTCTAGCTAAAGAGACTAACAGCAGGATATTCCCTAGGATGTGAATGACAGTGAACTGACAACAGCTGCTTGAATTCTGTTTTGTTAGCCCAAGCCAGGAGTCTGGGGGACAGCTGGTGCAAAGCAAACCATTGATGCTGTCCAGAAAAATTCACGCTATGGCCCGTCATGATCGAGGTCAGGTGCCAATAACGAGTGAAAGTGTTAGTTCCAGTTCAGGCGACTCGTGATTGGTGTGGTCTTCCTCTCGGTGACCTCCTCCCGCCACCCGAAGTCAGAAGGTTGGGTGGGTCGCGTGTCAGAGAGCGCTGCGTCACTGAAGGAACACAAAGTGTAATAAAGCGTAACGGATTTTCAGTCGCACGCATATGGAACTCAGTTCGCTTGCACTCGTAAAATAATGCAATAACTTTGCTCGCATTCATAGAATTATGCAATCCATGATTCTAATGATGCGTGTGCTTGTGAAAACATAAGCATTGAAGTAGAGTACTGAACCATTGAATGTTCTGTACAGCAGCTTATGAAGTGCATAATGAGCAATGCCACATCAGCACGACAAACTCGAAGCGGCAGCCCACTCCCGCCAAACATGTCTCACACAATGCTCACGAAACTTGATTTGTACACAAATTGGCATGCATGAGGCCAGCGAAACATCTTTTCTCCACGCCCCTGCAGCCTTTTCGCACAGAAAATTCTGCTGGTTGCACGATGGTCAAACCAGCCCCATGTGGCGCCAGCGAAACATTTGCACGTGATTCGTTTCGTCGGCCGCGTCGCTTGACTTTTGTGGACGTGCCAATGCGATGCTTTTGGCGACGCTCATCGCAAAGCATACTCCCGCATATGATTGTGCATATAGCTGCTTTATCACCCTTGTACTCCCCATTCCGAGCAGGCCATCAAATAGATTCAGTCTTCGCGTGTGATTGCGGTTGCGTGCTTTCATGCGCCTATTCTAGAGAGCCCTATCCAAGGCGAGCCTTGGCTGTAGCGTTCTCGCACCCCTCATCTCGTTTACAGCAATCGAAATAATGGCTTCGCTGCTACGCGTCAGGTGGACTCTTGCCATTGTGTTGCTCGTCGCGGTTGTGGGATTTCCTGCAGCAGTGCTGGGATACGACACGTCGTTCGACCGATACTTTCAGTTCGCGCCGTATTGCAAAGGGCAGTACTACTGCGAGCGCGAGGGCGATGGAACCGTCGCGATTTCCGCCCACTGGAACAAAGTCGGAGGTACATTTGGTGCATTTAACCTCACCTTTGTGTGCGTGTGATCCCCCCCGTTCCCAGGCCGATTTCCATTATGATCGTCATGCCCGTAGTTTCTCGTCGCACTTGCATAATTTTTTTACTGATTTTTGCATGTCGTTGTTGTTAATGTCTTTGCGCGCCAGCCTTTGCCTCGTACGGAATGTATCAGTACGGCATATTCAGCGTGAAGATGAAGATGCCGGCCGGCTACTCCGGCGGCATCATTCCGTGCTTCTACCTCATCTCGGGTGGTAGCCCGGGTTACAAGGACATTCACGACGAGATCGACTTCGAGATCCTGGGCGCCGAGAACCCACGCGACATGATCATCCACACCAACCTCATCACGGGCGGCCAGACCAACCTCGAGCAGGTGCGTTGCGAGTTCCAAACGAGCAGACGAGTCCTGGTTTTCGATGTGATTTCTCGTGATGACGTTTTTTTGCAGCACGCTCTTCCGCATCCTTCAGGGAAATAGGTTCACCTTTCGTGCTTGCATTGTCTCCTTGACCCTAACACCTCCATGTCCTCCTGCCCTGATGCTTTTCTCCCTTTTTCCCCGCAGTTCCGCTTCCCGTTCGACCCGTCGGCGGACTTCCACACGTACACGATCATCTACTCACCGAACTTCATCGTGTGGAGGATCGACAACACGCCCATCCGCGTCACCCTCAAGACCCCCGGCAGACCCTTCCCCTCCGAGCCCGTTCAAGTCAAGGTAAGTCCCTTCCCCGTGCAGCAAACTCTCTGTCTCAAACCACCAGCAGAATAAGCCGTGACTACCAGAATAGGCTATCACCAACAGAATAGTACTCTCCCCGTCCACTTTCCTCAACTTCCCCTCCGCCTCCACATGGCGAATCCGGGCCTAAACAAGCTATTCTTACGCTGTCTTCTTAACCCCTCTACCAAGCAGGCATCCATCTGGGACGCGTCGAGCTGGAGTCCATTAAAGCCCGACTGGAACAAGGGCAAGGTGACGGCCGAATTCAAGGATTTCGACCTGAGCATGGCATGCGCCGTTCCGCCCACGGGCAAGCGCCCCGCGTGCGCGGATGAGACGAACAGGCAGAAGGCGCCGTGGCTGTACAACCTTGGGCCCAGGCAGATTCAGAATTTCAAGAAGTTCAGGAGGAGTTATGTGAAGGCTTCGTATGGCTGGGAGGTGATTCAGTAAGGCGTGGGGAAGGAAATTAAAGGGATTGCTGACTGATGCATCAAACAGAGCAGTCCACGATCAAGTTCAATAGATTTCCCTAGGACGTCGTTTGGTAATAATATATGGGATGTGGTCCCATTGCTGACTCTCTACAGTGTTGCTATACTTGCTATTCACTTTGGCATGGCTGAAGTCAAGAATCGTCTGAGATGGACTGTGCACGATGGCTAGTGGCTGGCACACTCCCATAAAACAGCCATGAACAACTGCATTTCTCTTCCTCATGCATTTTCTTCACATGCCAATGTCCACCCAGAATGTATTGACACAAAGTAGCAATTCCATCAAGTTAGATTCTTGTAAAGCATCGTGAAATTGCAACCAGACACTTGAGCTGCACAGAGTGCACACGTCAATGATGTCCCAACTTTTAGTGGTGTCCCAACTTTGGAACGCCGTTTAACACATGGATAGCTAGATTCTCACAATAGATGCTCTGCTTCTGGTAGATACTATGAGGGATACCATATTATGAGAAGGCAATCCTATAGGTACAGTTTTGGTTTGTGAATTACATTCAATGTTTGAATTGTGTTTCCTATCTCAAATAACCATCTTACAACGATGCTTTCTAAAATAGGTATCCATATGACAAGTTATATCGTAAGAAAACAACCATCTTACAGTGTTATTCACTAAAAGCATGCTTTCTTGAGAGGCATAACAGACGACCAATAGAATCTCTAGAAGGTACCAAAGGAAATTTCAATCACCATGAACCAGTTGGAGCTTGCCGGGGTTGATTCTCCAATACAGTGCGGAAATGTATCGAGCCAGAACCACACCCGATCTACAAGCAGACTGATCCTGACGTCAGGCACTTCACGTGACGGAGATTCATAAACAAGCCCTTCTCGTGGCTCGAACCTCCTGATTGATCCTTGCCACGTCACGAGCTGCTTCTGCTTGAGATTCGTCACGAGCTTTCGGAGCTAGAGATTCCATCGGTGATATCTTAGAGGAGAGCTTTAAAAATGAACCGACCTTAACCGATTCGAGCAGATCGCGGACTACATCGCTTTTTTGCTGCCAAATCTCGCTTTGTCCCCCGAAGAGCAGACCATTGATGTTCTCCTGGGACACCAATTCGGATCACCCTCCCCCGATTCTTGAAATTGCTGACTCACCTCAGCACATCAATCCAATCGAGAGTCGCACCCCCGCGCGCGGCATTTTTCAAGTTTCCCGCGCGCCCTTTCCGTGCCTCCCCTGCTTGGCTCCCCCATTTCCTCCTTCTTTCCCCCCATTCCGCCCATCCCTTCCGCCCCCTCCACCTTGCACCCTGCCTCCCCCCTCCACCCCGCCCGTTGACCACTGCAAGAGTCACCTAGCGCAGCAGATGCCGCTGCAATGCTCGTCGTTTCCTCCCCAATGTGTGGCGCGGGGAGGAGGGAGTGCTGAAATCGTGAGATGTGGAATTCAGAAACAAATCCGCAGAACCACGAGATTCGAATCGCAAGATTAGTTTAGCAGCGCTGCTGCTGCTTGATTCATTTTGCCCAGCGCTGCTGAGAGTGGGGATTGCTGCGATATCTATCAATCACCGCGCGGACTGCTCACTCAACGCGACGCACTGCTCTCGGCGATATGCTTCAGCCGCCTGAAGGTAGATCGTCGCGGTATCGATTCACCGAAGGGAAAATCAGAGCGAGGCATCAGTCTTTGAAGCACGGAAATCCGACCCAGCGACATTTAGTACGGGCCCACAAGGGAGCTTACAGCATAAGAGCAGAAATGATTCCGCGGTCCGCCATGGTTCGATTGACAACTCTACCCCCTTCGCAATTTCGACAGTTGCATGACTGTTCAAGAATTCGAGAACGGCTTTTGTATTTGACCCTTACGTTCAGCACTTCCACTACGACTGCACCTACGTTCTGCACTTTCAGCATCTCCCTTGGCCGTCGCGAAAGTAGCTTTTGCTGTCCTTCCGAGTCGTGTGTTTCCAAAGCAACGCCTTGGCCGTGGCTGTTCAAAGTTGCTCCTCATTCCCACGCCCATCATCTAGCGCGTCCTAGTATTATCCAAGCCGATGAGTCCCAGACCTAGTCCTGACGGAGACCCGCCGCAACCGCGAACGGGCCAGACGTCTCCAATCACTCCCGCGCTCGCCGGCGGATTGAACGCGAGTTCCGATGCATTTTACAATGTCATTTCTTCTAATAGTGGTGCTGCTGCCGGTCCGTCTTGGAGCGCTCCGAGGCGCGCCGACAGGGTGGGGAAAGGCGCCAAAGGCGGGCCGGAGAACGCGCTGCACGGCTTTCGCGGAGTGCGGCAGCGCAGTTGGGGGAAGTGGGTGGCGGAGATCCGCGCGCCGCGCAGCAAGAAGCGCATCTGGCTGGGGTCGTTCGCAGACGCGCGGACTGCTGCGCTGACGTACGACCGCGCAGCGCGGAAATTGTACGGGCCGCGCGCGCAGCTCAACTTCTTCGACGAGGCAGCAGTTTCTGCGCCCATCAGCAGCCACCCTCACGGCGCAAGCTTGCGCGCCGCCGACGCCCGCAGCGGCTTGATCAGCAGCGGAAGCGGCAGCGGCGGGAGTGCTGCGAGCGACAGCGAAGGTGGCGCTTTTGCAGGCGTGATCAGCGGCAGCGTCGGAGGCGGAGAGAGAACGAGCCGCTCCGTCGAAACGCCTGCGCATGTACCGCGCTGCGCGTCGAGCGACGACGCGACGCCTCCGTCACTGGCGAGGTTCGCGTTCACCGGCGGCACGCCGTTTCTAACGCGCGACTCCAACCCAGCGGAGAGCACCGTTAGTGCCGCCATGGCGGCGGCCTCTCGAACCGCGTCGCTCAACGCAGAAACTCTCGCTGCAGCGCGATGTGACTACATCGATGCCCTGCCACTGCCCAGCATGACCTTCCAAGAGATCTTCAACCGCTCGTGTCCGCCGCTCACCGCGCCCGCCGCGGCGTCTACCTCCGCATCCGCGCTCGGCGCGCGCGCCCCGTCAGCGGAGAAGCGCGGCATGTGGCAGGGGCCGGTTGAGTCGTTCCGCGCGCCCGCGGCGAGCAGCGCGGGGCGCGTCGACCCGTCGGCGGAGAGCAGGAAGGCTGAGAGCAGGCAAGCGGAGAGCAGGCAACCGAAGTGCGGGGTGCAGGAGATGGAGGAGGAGTCCGTTGCGTGCTCTGGGTGGAGCAATGGCGGTGGCGTTGCTAATCACAGCATCGTGAATTGGAATCAGAAGAACCAGGATCTTGTCTCGAGTCAGGGCGTTTTTGCTGTAGCAGGAAACCAGGGGGCGGCGAACATGCATTTTCCTCCCTGCCCCGCTGTTTTGCCCGCCCAGCTGAGTCAGCAGCCGGCGTTGACGGTGCGTGGGGGGCTTGTTCCCTACGGCAGCATTTTTGCAAGCCCCCCTGTCATGTCGGTGGGCGGCATGCACGCGCCTGGCATGGCAGTGCCTTGGGGGTGTGGCGTACCAGTGCCGTGGGTGCAGGAGAGAACAGTGGAGCAGCAGGGGGCGATGGTGCAGGCACTGCGGGAGAGCAGGGCGCAGCTGGTGCGCGAGCAGATGGGCAGCATTGGTAGCGCTGTGTCTGCTGGGAATGCTTGGGCTGCTGAGACTGGTGGTGCTGCCGGGACTGCTGGGGCTGCTGGGTATGCTGGTGCAGGGGTGTGGAGTGGTAGGTCCACGGATGGGGCAAATGCGGTGCAGGGTGGGGGAGCAGGCATGGAGCAGGGTGCGGAGCATGGTGAGCTGGACGCAGCAGCAATCGAGCGCATGCTGCAGCTCTCAGAAGCCCTGCTCAGTTCAGAGGACCCCCCTCCTCATGGCCCTCACATCCCCCATGGACACATGGACCCTCCCCCTCATGGTGCCAATGCCCCTCGTGGCAGTGTGGTCACTCACGCCTCTGATGCGGCTCCATTGGAGGAAGCCAGTGCGCTGCTGGCATACGGTGATTACCAGCGTCTGACCACCGGACTGCCTGATGCCATGCCCAGCTCCGAGCCTACTGCCGTGCCCCACTCGCGCTCCCTGCATGTCTCTCTGCCTGGCTCTGTGCCGCACGCTGCTGCTGCTGTTGCTGCTTGTGAGCCTGTGTGCGGGCTTGCTGACCTGGTACCACCTGTGTCCTCCTCCCCCTTGTGCATGGGAGGGGAGCTAACAGTGCCTGGCAGCCACTGCATGCTGCCACCTGCAGTGCACATGGCACCATGTGAGCCGGCAACTTTTGAGTCGACTCAAATGCCACCTGCAGTGTGCATGGCGCCATGTGAGCCGGCATCGAGTGCTGTCAATGCTCTCACCATTGACGTTGCCCGGGAAGACCAGCCGCCGTGCTTTGAGGAACTGCTGTCCCCCATGTCTAGGCTCTGGTAGTGTGTTGGGTGGCAGGCTGTGAGATACGTCCTGTACATATTACTGTACGCCAGTGATTACCGTATGCCAGTGATTACCGAATGCCAGTGATTACCTTATGCCAGTGATTACGTTTATACTACTAGTTGCATGCAGATTCTCTATGAATATTTGCTCCACCCAGTGTCTGAATGGCTAGTGAGGAATGGGGTCGGGAAAGAAAGAACATGTTAGCCTGCATTGGTAACGTACTGCACACCGCACGGTAATACTACCGGACCGGTATGATATGAAGATGCATTTGTACAAAGTACGGTACTGGTTTGGTAGCTGGCTGAAAATCAGGATGTAGACAGCACGTGGTAGAATGTCGTTTGTCCCCAAACAGACCAGCCAGGCCAAATCGCAAAGCATGACATCAGATCAGATCCAAGGAATTGCCAACATTGATTTATCATGCAATGCGGTGGCAGCCATGCTTGCCTTGCCACATCCCTCCACGGTTCCTCTTCTCATCGACCTCCATTTCCATCCAGTGCAGCCATCCAGTGCAGCCATCCAGTGCAGTCATCCAGTGCAGCCATCCAGTGCAGCCATCCAGTGCAGCCATCCAGTGCAGCCATCCAGTGCAGCCATCCAGTGCAGCCATCCAGTGCATGTTAACATATATATTGTGTAGCATGCCAACACATGTGACTGTACACCAATTGTGGTGTACAGTTGGGTTGGGACAACACCCAACTTTGGGTGTAGTCTTGCACTTTGGGGTGCCAATCCACCCAATTGTGGTGGAGCCCCCAAATGCAACCCTCTTGACTTGTGGGTACCTCACTTCCCACAATTGAGGTTACCCCAAGCCAAGTGGGCCTAGGGTTGCCTCACTTCTACAAAGTGTGGGCAACCCAACCCACTTGACCTATGGTTCCCTCACTTCCCCAAGTGAGGTCAACCCAACCTATGGTCACTTTCATCCTTCCCTTCCAACCTTCCCTTCCAACTATGTATGCTAGGTTGTTCCTCTAATCTAATGACTTGTTCAATTTGCTACTTTCACATGGTATAGAGCTACTTGTTCCTAGGCCTTACCTCTCCCTCCCTTCAGTTTTTTTTTTTTTCCCATGGGCCCACCCCACAGCTACAAACCCTTTCCTACGCGTGGCTCAACTAGCCATCACTAGCATACTCTCGCCGCGACCTACGCCGTCGCCGCCGTTCCCCCCCCCTCCCGCCGCGATTACGCCTTCCTCGCCTGCGGATTCCACCGCCGCGAGCGCAACGCCGCTGTCCCCTCCTCCCCCCCGCCGCGACCCCCTGTCGCCGCCTCCCCTTCTCGCCGCCGCGCCTGATTCGGCGCCGCCTGCGCATCCTGCCGCCGCGACGCTTCGTCGCCGCCTGCCCGCTGCCCGTCCCTCCGCCGCGACGTCACGTCGCCGCGTTCCCGCCGCCGCGCCTGCTACGGCGCCGCCTGCGCATCCTGCCGCCGCGACGCCTCGTCGCCGCCTGCCCGTCCCTCCGCCGCGACGTCTCGTCGCCGCGTTCCCGCCGCCGCGCCTGCTTCGGCGCCGCCTGCGCATCCTGCCGCCGCGACGCCTCGTCGCCGCCTGCCCGTCCCTCCGCCGCGACATCTCGTCGCCGCGTTCCCGCCGCCGCGCCTGCTACGGCGCCGCCTGCGCATCCTGCCGCCGCGACACCTCGTCGCCGCCTGCCCGTCCCTCCGCCGCGACGTCTCGTCGCCGCGTTCCTGCCGCCGCGCCTGCTTCGGCGCCGCCTGCGCATCCCGCCGCCGCGACGCCTCGTCGCCGCCTGCCCGTCCCTCCGCCGCGACGTCACGTCGCCGCCTCCCCTTCCCGCCGCCGCGCCTGCTTCGGCGCCGTCTGCCCGTCCCGCCGCCGCGACAGCTCGTCGCCCCCTGCCCGTCCCGCCGCCGCGACCTAACATCGCCGCCTGCGCATTCCGCCGCCGCGACTGCTCGTCGTCACCTCCCCGCCCCCACCCCCCCCCCCCCCCCCCCCCCCCCCCCCGCCGCGATTTCGCATTGCCGCCTCCCCTCCTACCGCCGCACCTGCTTCCGCGTCACCCACGCATCTCGTTGCCCCTTCTGCATCGCCACCCTCCCGCAATTTCCCCCGCCGCAACTGCAACATCGTCGCCCCGCGGTTCCCGTTAACGCCACTGCGCCGCCGCCGCCCTACCGCCGCGACTGCTTCGGCGCCGCCTGCCCATCCTCCACCGCGACCGCGCCATCCCCGCCCACACTTCCTGCCGCCGTGACTGCCCCGTCGCCGCCTGCAGATTCAGCCGCAACTGCACCCTCCCTTCCTCCTCTCCCTACTCCTCTCCCCCCCCCTCCCCCTCCCCCTGCGCCCCTCGTTGCCGCGGCCTGCCTGCCGCCGCCGTCCCTCGTTTCGCCGCCGCGGCCCTTCCGCCGTCGCCTGCGCCCCTCGTCGTCGCGGCCTGCTCGCCGCCGCCGCCCCCGACTTTGCCACCGCCTCCCCTTCCCGCCGCCGCACGTTCGCACAGCCGCCTGCGCCCTTGTCACCGTCGCTCCCTGCACCTTGAACGCCTCTGCCCTCCACCGCTGTCTCCCTCCTTTACCCCCCCCCCCCCCCCCCCCCCTCCCTCCTCCTGCCAGCGGCAGCAGCAGCTGCAGCAGGGGAAGTGCAGCAGCCTCCGCAGCAGCAACTTCACCCTTGGCCGCCGCGGGTCCACCCGCCGTCGCCCATCATGACTGCTACCCCCCCTGCCCCTCTCCCCCCTCCTCACTGGAGCAGTGTTACTCCTCGCCCCTCCCTTCTCAACACTCCGACCCTCCACTCCTCCCCCCCCCCTTATCTCCGCCTGCTCACCCCCTCCCCCCCTCCCCATCTGCGGCGTTTCCAGCAGCTCCAGCATCAGCAGCAGCAGGACTTCCAGCAGCGGCAGCAACCACAATTTCTCCAGCCGCACCCCCCACATCTCCTCCAGCCGCGGCAATCGCAGCAGCAGCAGTTCTTCCAACACCAACAGCAGCCGCAATCTCTCCAGCCTCACCCGCCACAGTTTCTCCATCCCCAGCAGCAGCAGTCCTTCCAGTCGCAGCAGCGGCAGTCCTTCCAGCAGCAGCAGCTGCCACAGTTCCTTCCACCGCAGCAGCAGCAGTCCTTCCTGCAGCAGCAGCAGCCACAGTCTCTCCAGCCGCAGCAGCAGCAGTGCTTCCAGCAGCAGCAGCTGCCACAGTTCCTTCCGCCGCAGCAGCAGCAGTCCTTCCAACAGCAGCGGCAGCCACAGTTTCTTCAGCCGCAGCAGCAGCAGTGCTTCCAGCAGCAGCACCAGCCACAGTTCTCTCCATCCGCAGCAGCAGCAGTGCTTCCAGCAGCAGCAGCCACCACAATCTCTCCAGCCGCAGCAACCGCGGCAGCATCGGCGGTGCTTCCAGCAGCAACAGCAGCCCAATCTCTCCAGCCGCAACCGTCACAGTCTCTCCCACCGCGGCAGCCGCAGCAGCAACAGTACTTACAGCAGCAGCACCCGCCGCTCTCTCCCTCTTCTATCCATGAAACAACTCTCCAGTACTCTGTGTTCCCTCCCCCTCCTTCCCCCCCCACCCTGGACTTTGTCCTTGACAGTGGGGCCACCGAAACCGCACTAAAAGACGCTGGCACCCTCACCCCCCTTCCACTTCCCACCCAGGTTCATGGTGCCGACTCCAGCTTTTCCATCCCCTGCACTCACCTCTCCACCCTTCCTTGCACCGCCTTCCCATCCGGTACAGTCACCGGTCTCCACATCCCTACCCTTCGCAATAACCTCCTCTCCCACCGTGAACTCCAAGGCGTTGGCATTACCGCCATATACCCTGGCTTTGCTTCCTACTGCGATCTCTACCACACCGCCTCTGGTCGTTTCCTCCTGCACATTCCCCTTTGCCCTCGCACTCGCCTTTACACGCTCCGCACACCCCGTCCCTCCTTTTGTCACGTCACCACTCGTGCTGGTACTTCCACCGGTCCCCTTCTCCCTCCCCCTCCCCCTCCTCTTCCCCCTCACCCTCCCCCTCCCCTTCTCCCTCTCCCTCTGATATCCTCCTCCTCTACTCCATCCGCCTCCTCCTCCCCCCCCAACTTTTCCCCCACCCCATCCCCCTCCTCCTCTACTGCCCTCTCCCATCCTGCGGTGCTCCTACATCTCAGACTCGGCCATCCCAACTTCGCCGCACTTCGCTCCACCGTCACCTCTCGCCTCCTTAACAGCCTTCCTCCCACCTTACCTCCCCTCCCCTCCTCCCCTGCTCCCCCATGCCCATCATGCATTCATGGCAAGCTCAAACAGTCCCCCCATCACAGTCACCCCACCTTCGCTCCCGCCCCCATTGACCTTGTTCACATGGATCTCTGGGGCCCTTATCCCATCCGCTCTCGTCAGGGGCACAGGTACATGCTCGTACTCGTCGACGACCACAGTCGGTACTCCACCGTCTTCTTTCTTCACACGAAAGACCAGGTGCCGGCTGTGGTCATCAACTGGGCTGAGCAGTGCCGCAACCACTTCAAACGTCCCATAGGCCGCCTTCACTCTGACGGTGGGGGTGAGTTCATCAATCATACTCTCTCCACTTACTGCAAAACATACGGCATTCAGCAGACCTCCACCCTTCCCCACTCCCCTCAGCAAAACGGCATCGCTGAGAGTCGCATCCGTGAGATCACCAAGATTGCGCGCTGCCTCATTGCTCACGCCTCCACCCCTCCCTCCCTCTGGAGCTATGCTCTCATTCATGCCGCCCTCCTCCTCAATCTCCGCTCCCACCCTCAGCATCCCTCCTCCTCCCCCACAGAACTCTGGTCCAAGGCCAAGCCTGACGCCGCAGGCCTTCGTGTTTGGGGCTGCAAGGCGTTCGTCCTCATTCCACCGGCCGACCGCTCCCGCGCTGCTGGCAAGCTCGCTCCTCGCGCTCTGGAGTGTGTCTACCTTGGGCACAATCGTGATTCCCCTGGCTACCTATTCCTCCACCCTCCCACCAATCGCCTCATCCGCAGCATTGACGTCGTCTTCGACGAGTCCACTCCCTACTACTCCACCCCTCCTCCTGACCCCCTCCCTCCTCCCACTCGCCCCCTCGCTTGGACCGACACCGTCCTCCCGCCTCTTCTCCCTCCAGCGCCTCTCCTCCCACCTGTCGCCGCTCCACTCCCGCCTTCCTCCTCTGCCGACGTCTACAACCCTGCCGCACCCGCCTCCCCCGCTCACTCCACTGCACCCCCTCCCCCCTCTCCCTCCTCCTCTCATTCTCCTCCTTTCCAGCAGCCGGATCAGCAACAGCAGGGGCAGCAGCAGCAGCAGCAGCAGCAGCAGCAGCCGGATCAGCACCAGCAGGGGCAGCAGCAGCACCAGCAGCAGCCGCGGCAGCAGCAGCAGCAGCCGGAGCAACACCAGCAACGGCAGCAGGGGCAACAGCAGCAGCAGCAACGGCAGCCGGGGCAGCAGCAGCAGCAGCAGCCGGAGCAGCAGCAGCAGCAGCAGCCGGGGCAGCCGCAACAGCAGCAACCGGGACAGCAGCAGCAGCAGCAGCAGACACAGCAGCAGCACAGTCCGCAGCAGCCGCAACAACAAGGGCAGCAGCTTCAGCAGCACCAGCAGCAGCAGCGGCGCCGTGCCACTTCCCGCTCCTCCCCCTTCCTCCTCCCTTACATCCATACCCGCTCGGTGGACAAAATCCTTGGGGCTCCTCCTCCTGCCTCCATTCAGCTCCTTGAGGACTCCCATGAGGAGTTCCTCAACATTCGGGAGCACACTCCGTTCCTTGCCTCCCTCTACCTTGACTTCCTGGGCTTTCCTGTCCTTGGCGCCACCACCACCCCCACCATCTTCACTCCCTCCACCTTCCAGGAAGCCATCACCTGCCCTGACGCGGATAAATGGATAGCAGCGATCTTCCTGGAGTGTGAGGCATTCATTCGCAACGACTCCTTTGTCGATGTCCCCCTCCCAGCCGGCGCCAACCTCGTGGACGGGAAATGGGTCTTTCGGGTGAAGCAGCTGCCGGGCGAGGAACCAGTGTACAAGGCCCGCTACTGCGCCAAGGGGTTCACGCAGACTTGGGCTGAGGACTACTGGTTCACCTACGCCCCCACCGCCAAACCACCCACCCTTCGCGCTGCCATGGACATTGGTGCACGTGACGACATGGAAATCGACTCCATGGACGTCTCCAATGCGTTCCTGCAGGGCGACCTGCATGAGCGCATTTTCCTCTGGCGACCCCCCGGGTTCCACGCAGCCTTTCCTGAGAACACTGTCTGGCAACTGCGTCGCCCCGTCTACGGCTTGAAGCAGGCACCGCGTGAGTGGCATGCGAAGCTGGCTGCCACCTTGGGGTCCCTCGGCTTCTCTGCTTCCCACTCCGACGCCAGCCTCTTCATCCGCTCCTCCCCCCGCCGCTTCTTCATTCTGGTATATGTCGACGACATGATCCTGCTCTCTGACACCAAGGCCGACATGGAGCAGGTGAAGCTGTCCCTGCAGCAGCGACTCAAGTGCAAGGACCTTGGCGCCCTCACTCACTACCTCGGCATGACCATCACGCGCAACCGCCCTGCTCGCACAATCACCCTCTCCCAGTCCCATTACATCGGCCAGGTCTTGGAGAAGTTCGACATGGCGCAAGCCAAGCCTGTTTCCACCCCGCTCCCCTTCGGTCACCAACTCGCTCCACCCACCTCCCCCACCTCCTCCCCCCACCCCTATGCCGAGCTCGTTGGGTCCTTGATGTACGCAATGATGTGCACCCGCCCCGACCTCGCCTACCCCATCAGCGTGCTCGCTCGCTTTGTCGGCACCGGTCGTCACTCTGAGGAGCACTGGAAAGCTGCCAAGCGGGTCCTCCGGTACCTTCGCGGGACCAGGGACCTTGCCCTCACCCTCGGCGGCCCTTCCCGTCCCCTTCTCTCGGGCTTCAG